ATTTTGTGTTTAAACATAAATTTATTATGAGACGAACAGAGAAAATACGAAACAATTCTTCAAACGGAGAAATCAAATTTAAGTGTGAATGTTGAAACTTTAGTAAGAATAATTCCTTTTTCTTTGGCCTGTAATTTAAGTTTTCCCTGACATGGGATATTAAAAGGCCCCTTGAGGCATGTGCACAATTTTATTGTTTATGATCTACACCAATCTAAAACGAAAATACTACGCTGATTTTCCATTTCTTTGCTTCGATGCGATACAGTACTACGCATGAGGTGGCAAATAGGTGAATTGAATAGCTCAGGAATCCCTTTAAGGGAAAAGGTTGGGCGTGAGGCCGACAACCTCAACCCGGAAAATTATCCTTGTCATGAATTCGATCATCCAGCCTCGGAACACAGGACGGATACCTAGAAGACGACTCAGGCAAAGAAATATGGAATACGCTTTAGAAACATGGCTGACGTTGAATAAACCAGACGCCCAGATGTTGCTACTAAACGAGCTCAGGAGATATAAACAGCGGCGATTCAGGAATCAAGATATTTGGGAGATTGTCTAGTTCTTGATCCACGACGGATCTGGTTTTCTAGTTGTGTCTCACAGTGAATAGATTGAGACTAGTTTATTGTCTCACTAACATTTTCTTGTTCTATGTCTCGCATTTGTTCTGTGGGAATAGGTTCCTGTAAAAAATCTACACTTTCTTCTGATTGAGTAGGCATATTTATAACATTCCTCACCATTATTTTCCGATTGCAGTAGACTTTCATCACCACATGGAGATAAATGTTTTAGCGAAACCGTTGCTTCTCGTCCATTTGAAAGTCGAACTAACGCATATTGAGGGTTAGCTTCAATGAGAGCTACTTCTTCAACGAGAGGATCGTACTCTGATTGTCTGACATGCTTATTCATATAAATTGTTCCAGAAGTTAGCCATGAAGGTATTGCTGTACCATTCATTGATTATCTTGAATGACAGAACATTCTTTCACGTGGAGTGAACTTAGTTGCTATACATAAAAGAGACCTGATCGAATGCAATGCATCTTCTAGAACCGTTTCCCAGTGTTGAATTTTCAAATTTCTTGAGCGCAAGGTTAGAGTGATCGTCTTCCAAATTTTGCCATTAAACCGTTCTGTTTGGCCATTGCCTTCTGGATTATAAGGTGACGATCTGCTTGTAGCTATTACTTTTGAATGAAGATAATTTTTAAAATCATTTGACATAAATGAAGATCCTTGATCGGGGTAAATATATCCAGGTATTCCAAAAATTGAAAATAAGTTGCTTAGACACTGAATTACCGTCTCAGAAGTCATGTCTTGGCATGGATAGGCGAATGGAAAGCGAGAATACTCGTCGATGATAGTGAGTATATATTTTTTTTCCTAAATCAGATGGAAGAGGGCCTTGGAAGTCCAGAGGTATTCTCTCGAAAGCCGAAGTTGCTTTAATGAGCGTCCCTTGATTTTTAATAAATTTAGGTTTGAGTTCTGCACAGATTGGGCAAGACGCTGACATAATACGAATATCTTCTACAGAGTAGGGCATATTGCGAGATCTGACTCAGTGGACGATTTTAGTGATTCCAGGATGACATGTAAATCGAATAAAGTTTTATGACTATTTGAACTACATATCATATTCGAGAAAATGTATCAGCTACTACGTTTTCTCGTCCTGATCTATATACTATATAATAGCTGTAGCATGATAGTTCAAGTCGCCATCTTAAAATCTTCTCATTTTTTATTTTGCTACTGTGTTTGGTATCAATCATAAAAGATATAGAATTTTGATCAGTAATCAGCTGAAAATGACGACCAATCAGAAAATTTCTCCATTTTTTAATTGCTTCGACTTTAGAATAAGTTTCTTTTGATGAATGATTTTGTAACACACTTACTTAGTGTTCTCAAGAAAAAATGCAACTGGCTTCTTGCTTGACTCAAAATGGCAGCAATGGAATGTTCTGAAGCATCAGTCTCAACCACAAATGGAATGTTATCTTCGATTGAAGTAACAGCTGATTGTGCAATATCCAATTTAAGCTTCTCGAAATCGTTTACACAGATTTCTGACAACGGAAAAGATTTACAGGAAACAAGTCGATGAATTTTCTCTGAGCAAGGTATCCACTTTGAGCTATGGCGTACATCCCAAGAGCTCTTTTCAGAGACTGAGGGTCTTCAGGTACCGGTAGTTTTCGTAGAGGTTCAAGTCTAACTGGATCAGGTTTCAAGGCATTATTCTCGATCAGATATCCAAGAAGTTTGATTGATTTTAGGGAGTGAGAACTTTTCTTTTCGTTTATGGTAAAATTGTATTTTCTTACAACGAGTAAAAATTCTTTTAAAGTTTTATCATGGTTTGCTTGATTTCTACCGCATATCGTAATATCATCTAAATATGAATGACACCTTCACGATTCTCTGATTTTAATATGTAGTCTATTACCCGCTGAAAACACGCAACTCCGTTTGTCACACCAAAAGGAATTCTTCGGAACTGATATAATTTACCATTACCATCTGCCTCAAAAGCAGTATACTGCTTTTCGTCGTCACCTATGGGAACTTGGTGATACGCCCTTTGCAAATCTATAGTACTGAAAATCTTGAACTTCGCTACAGCACGAACAATATCTTCAATATTGGGCAGAGGATAAGCATCTAAATATCGTCGTTAATTTGACAAAGGGACGTATATGAGAAATAGGCGATTTTTCGTTTTCAGGGAATTTATGTCGCAAAACATCAAATTTATACGCCCTCTAATTGGCTCATATGAACTGCCAGTAGTTTCTGAGTTATACACATTTTTCTCTAAGACGTAAGTTTTGAAACAAGAAATATGCATCTTCCTAAAAGGCGTATATCATATACGCTTGTAAAATTTAAGAAATTCAATATACGCCCATTAGTGAAATTAACGACGATATGTAAACCTCTTAATGGTTTGAGAGTAAATCGATCACCATCCTTTTCTTGTGCGTTTCATTTTTCGTTACCAACACCTGTGCCCGCCAAGGAGAGTTGCCTTCTTCTATGATTTTATTTAAAAGAAGGTTTTTTATTTCGATAGATATAAAGTGTCTATCTTCTGGTGAAAATCTTCTAGACTTTGTTGCAATTGGCCTGCAGTCTGCTGATAGATTTGAAAATAATGTCAATTTTTAGAATCAATTTTTAGGAACGCCGAACTACAAATCGATGATGAGTTACCAATATACAAGGGAGGTTTAGAACCTCCAAAAGATACCTCAAGGATTAAATGCTGACTGCTGTCTGAGAATATCATAACCTATAATGACATCAGCACATAAATCAGAAAGAACTTTTAAACGTAATTTTCTGTATGTATGCCCCATCATTTCTAAGTCTGAAAAGCAATAAAGTTTTATTATTGTATGTAGGGTTTAATTTAATTTTGATAAGGCATTTGGATGAACTGCCAGGTGCCGCACAAAGAAGCCTAGAAGCAGGTATAATCGAGGCAGAAGCTTTGACTTTTCTTTTGCTTAGACTTACCTTGGAGAAATGTCTACTTTCACCGCATTCAGTATACACGTTGAATCTTTAGCAGGGCATAACGTGCGAAAATGTCTTTTAGTACTTCCACAGAAATAACATCACTACACTTTCGTAGCCGCGGAAATGAGGTCTTCTTCATGTGTTTCTCTACTTTCAGATTGAATTGAGTTAATCACACCTTGAGAGATGCTATATGCTATATGCTTCTGAATGCTTTTTTGCCTATTCTAGAGATAGAGGTTGATTCTTGGCTTCATCAAGTTTCAAAGTAGTATTTTCCAACAATCGTTGTCGAATTTGGGAAGAGCTTAAGCCACTAATTAAAGAATCTCTAATATAGTCGTTTTGACTTTCTTCTGCGCTGACAGCCTTGAAGTTACAGTCTCTACTTAGATAGAGAAAAAGACATCATCCATTTTTATCCAATAGACCAAAGGCAAGATTTTTGAAGATAACAAAAAACAAAGTCACAGTCTCATAGTTTATTTAATCAGCTACACGTGTTTCGCTCAATAGAGCATCATCAGGCCTTGAAACACACACCCTCAACACACACCATGAGGGTGTGTGTTTCAAGGCCTGATGATGCTCTATTGAGCGAAACACGTGTAGCTGATTAAATAAATTATGAGACTGTGACTTTGATTTTTGTTATCTTTAAAAATCTCTACTTAGATGTTTAAGTGCTTGTGAGTACTGACCAACAGTCTCTCCAGGTTGCTGCTTCCTAGAGGTGAGGCATGCAGTGTCTGGCAAATATTTCATTTTTAGGTTTAAGTAATGAAAATTGAATCCAAAATCTTAATAGCTTCTGAGTAAGAAGAATAGTACGATATGTGCTTATAATTGTCGTGGCTTACATAGTTCACCAAGAGTTACAGTTTTCCATCATTTTCCAGCTTATAAACGGATGATATAAAATTGTTGAAAGTTGCTTTCTAGTGAGTCCACTCTTGTGGTGCAGCTTTTGGAGAGTTTTGTTCGGCGTCGAATCGTTCAGGTCTTAAGCCAGAGTCTCATGCATCCGTTTTCCGACGGAAGATGTCCGAAAAACTTTCTATTCTGACATAATCGTATAAGAATATGTCAGAATAGAAGGTTTTTTCGGACATCTTTTGTCGGAAAACGGATGCATGAGACTCCGGCCTTAAGAGTTTATCCATCTTGTTTATTAAATTGTAATGATTTACTGAATTACATTTAGAAATTAGGCTTTAATAAACAAAAATTATACACGACATTCACAATAATGATGAAAAACTAATGACAATAACAAATACAATATGATAATAATTAATACTGGTAACAAAAACTACATAGAGAAGAGATCAAAAGTATCACACGCATACAATTTCATACAGCGGAAAGAAGACCGGAAGGAAGGAGTTCGGCGTTGCCGTCATTGTAGACAAAAAGATTGAACACAACATAGGTACGGAATTTCAAGGCGATAAATGAGAGGATATGTGCAAGCTAAGGTTAAAATCCAGGGTCTTCAACCCATCCATCACCAATGTCTATAGCACAACAGAAGAGAAAGATCTGGATAAAAAAGAAACATTCTATGATCAACTGGACGAGGCATACGAAAACTGCCCAAGAAACTAAATATATAAAAATTGTGATAGGGGACATGAATGCCCAAATACGCTGAGAGGTCAGTTCTTGGGAACCATAGGCAGACATTCACTCCATGAAAGATCCAATCAGAATGGAGAATTTCTAATAAATTTTGCTAGCAGGAAGAATGTTATTATAAGCTGCCCCCCAAAAGAATATACACAAAGCTACGTGGATCATGCTAGGTGGGGCTGCCACTAACCAAATAAACCATGTCCTCCTACTGGTGTATGTGAAGTTCAGCTGCAAAATATCCAGAAACATCAGAATAACAAACACAGAAACTTTAAGTGCTGAGGAACATTGGAATAAACTTAAATCTGAAATGCTAGAAACCGTAACGCAAATAATAGGCAAGAAAAGACTGAAAAGGTTGGACTAGTTTGAAGAAAAGTGCAGAAGGGCCATAGAAGATCATAAAGCTCATAAGGCTTACGTCGAGAGAAGAACAAGAGAAAGAAGATCTGCGTTTGAAGAGGCAAGAAGAAAGGCTGACAAAACATGCCACAGAAAGAAGAAAAGATCTGAAAACGAGAAATTGCACCGACTAGACCATGACTCTGAAAACAATGATCTAAGGGCTGCTTATAAACATCTACGCAGTTTGAGAGAGGGATACAAACCACGCACAACTCTTTATAGAAACGACGAACGACAAGTAACCAGTGATCTACAACAAATCCAGGACACGTGGAAAACATACTTCCAAAATTTATTGGGATCGCAAGAAAATGATCATATGGAAATGCCAGATGAGATGCAACAACAAGGCGCCACCTACATCAACAAGGAGTAGGTACCTACTTGTGCTTGACAATTGATAATATTTCTGTCATCATAAGGTTAGCCAGGAATACTACCCTAAATCAAAAGCGTGGAATTTTAACAACATTAATGGAACGTGGGTAAAGAATCTGAACCACAACACACAACATCTGGAAAATAGATCTAAACTACATACATCTGAGATTGATAAGGCTATGAGACCGAAATTTTGTTTACGTCGAGATTTAGAGGAGAAACCGGTGATTGCCAGCTATCTGCCTTATACCCCTCAGGTGAGACGTGAGAGATAGAAAAAGTATTGAAATTAATCCGTAAAAGATGGTTTTGATAAGGCAAACTCAACGTAGAACGTAGATTGTTCGTTACTTTGTCTAAATTATACGTAATAGTCTTTCCTTAATTGTAGAAAAAATATCTAATCAAAATGTACAGGGGAAGCCAAGTAAGAAGCAGTACTTTTAATCCTTGCCTTTGTGGCTGCAAAATAATTTTTTTACAATAGTAGTTAAGTTCGCAGGTTTAGGAGCAAATAAAACTCCAGTTTTCTCTTTTCAAAAAAACTGCCGACGTTTAAAAAACGATTAAAAAAAATTTGAACGCAAAATAGTAATATTCACGTTTGTTGCAAACAGTTTAAAATTAACGATCGGCACGAGGCTAGAAAACGTACCCTCTACGCGAGACTAGGCCGCGTGACGTCAGTAGCCACCGATGTTAATAAAAATGCCAAAGAGAAAGTGTTGTTTTGTACCAAAATACGAATTCACGTATACTGGAATCAACCTACGTTTGTGTATTTCATTTATTTGTACCACAATGCAGGAAGGTTATCAGAAAGCTGATTCACGAAACTTACTCCATGTGAATGTGGAAATGGTGTACGAGTTTTTTACGAATAACGCAAATTTAAATGAACCTCAGAGCAGCGGCGTTAAAGTAGTTCGGTAAGTATTTTTTTGGTTTAGAACTAATGATACTACCCATTTTCATTTTTTCATGTTTCTCCGAGAATAGTTATTTTCCTAACCAGTGTAGAAACACAGTTTTTATTATACTTACCTGAAAACACCTCTTTTCCACCTGTCTTTACAATAAAGTAAAGGTGACATTTCCAGAACAGCGCACGGAAATTTTTTCCCGATCTCTGTTTCCGTGCGCTAAGCAGATTAGACGTCAGTCAATATTGCATCCTTGTAATTCATTCGAAATTGAACAAAGATATCTTATTATAAATGCACCCCGACAAATTAAAAACAATTTAAGTTTCTGTGACAACCATCATTCAACTATGTACAGTCGTGAGCATTGAAAGTGGGACATCCGATTTTTCCTATTGTAAAACGAAATCACCAGCTATACTTACGGCAATGACGGGGATTGTCATATTTGACAAAAAATCCATTGTAGAGGAAAGACTGATTTACCCAAAATAGCGAAAAATGACAAGTAATGTGAGTCGGGTATCCCACTTTCAATGCTCACGATCGTACCTATTTTTGACATTTTATTTTCGGGGATAATACCACGAGAGCTTCAAAATTACCGATAATTTTTCACGATTGCGTGTTTTCTATAATTTCACGAGTCCGTAGGACGAGTGAAATTTGCAGAGAAAACACGCATGAGTGAAAAATTATCTGGTTCATTTTAAAACTCAAGTGGTATTTAGAGGATTATTTCACGTATGAGAATGCAAAAAATATGGAAATAAATATGTATTAAACGATTTGAACATCTTAACAATCAATACAAATAAATGGTTGCTATCAGGAACCGTTTGTTTGTATCAAAAATTAGCATGACAACCATGTATACAATAACATGGGAGAATTATCGCTGTAATTCTCTCTAGTTAAACAAATGGAAAAGAGAATTTTCGCTGTAATTCTGCAAATCGTCACTTGTCTTATGGGATTTCTAACACATGAGTGGAATAATCTATAAAATTCATGGCATTTTAAAAAATTGGGATTTTCTGTTTTTATCGTTTTCAGATAAGTATAATAAAAAATATCGTTCATTACACGTCCAGAAATGGATTTTTCCGTTCTTGCATGACTTCCCGTGCTCGGCTGCGCCTCACACGAGAATTTGTCACGCGCGCACGGAAAAATCCTTTTTTCTGGACTGGTAATGAAATATACTATTCCGCATGAGTTAGGAACAATATTTTTTCAGAAATTAATATTTTTAAAGTAATATCGTACTGGGCTTAGAATCACTACCTATAATAACAATTATTTGTTTTAGATCTGGAAGAGAAGATTACGGAGACTCTGCAGTTGGTTATGTGCAAGTCAAGAGGAACGAGGATATGTGTACTGTGCAGGGTCGCATTTGCCCGGAACATAAAGTACGCTCGAAACCGTACACAGTTAAATGTCTTGTTGATGAAAAAGACAGAGTCGTCGAAAAAGTTGATTGCATGGATTGCGCTGCGTCTGCTGGAGGGTGCAAACACTCAGTTGCGTTTCTGATGTGGTTGCATAGGCGATCAGAAGAACCAGCTCCTACTGCCGTGTCTTGTTATTAGAAGAAGGCAGTATTGGCTCAAGTTGGTACCAATATCAAGTTTATAAAAGCGAAGTCTATTGGAAAGCCACTCAAAAAACCTAAAGTCTGTATTCTACCCGCTGCCGGATTTTTGGAAGAAACAGTTGCAATGACAAAAAGGCATAACTACGTTTGTCCACTTTTGAACCACAATAATTTGTCAATCGGTGCAAGAAATCTTTCGATTCATAATTTAATGACGAAATTTATTGCAGAGGCTGACGATCATGGTCCAGACAATTTCATATCATTTTGTTCAAATATTTTAACTCAAGACAACATTGCAGATGCGTCTTCTTTAACTGAAACCCAAGGTGAAAATTTCCTTTGGTACGAACTTCGTTATGGACGCATCACTACATCAAAATTATATGATGCGAATGTTTGTAAAACTGTTTCGGGTAGTTTAGTTAACCAAGTCATGGGTGTATCAAAAAAATTTACTTCTGAAGCTATGAAAAGAGGACTACGTTTGGAAAAGTTGGTTTTGAAAGAGTTGGAAAGAGTTTTGGAGACCAAAATTCGAAACTGCGGCTTTACTATTTTAAAAAATGCTGCTATTTTAGGAGGTTCTCCAGATGGTATCACAGATGACGCAGTAGTCGAAATAAAATGCCCTATGTCGGAAAAAACAGTTTCGAATTATATTACGCCAAACGTAGTAGGGTGATCCAACTACTGCTTTAGGATTTTAAATTGAAATATAGTCAACACTGTACAGGGTGGTCCAAATTGGACACTTTCTTATGGAAACACCCTTTATTTTTAGAGATAGAAAAAAATGGACCCCCACTCTGAGGCTCAAATTTCATGAAATCTTTATTGGTGCAAACCGCATTTTGATATCTTCAACCGTTTAGCCGCTAGAGGGCGATACTCGATTTTGAGCAATACCGTAAAGCCTCCATAACTTTTTTGTTTATGAAAATAATTCATTTCCGTAAAGATCTTTTGGAAGCACTTTTTCAAGCAGAATTCAGTGACGTTCTCAGTTTTTTTCTGTCTGGCTTCGATTTCGAGATATTGACCATAATCCGATTTTTTTCAATAGGACACCCTATATATCAATAGTTTATTAGAAAGCTATGCTTTCGCTGATTTCAATGATATAAGGTTCGATAGGTTTATCTCTAACAGTTTTCGAGAAAAAAAATTATTTCGGTTTTTGTCATAAGAAACAATGTGTTGGAAAAGGACTTTATCTCTGTAAGAAAACTGAGAAAGGTCTCTTTCTAACACATTGTTTCTTATGACAAAAACTGAAATAATTTTTTTTTCTCGAAAACCGTTAGAGATAAGCCTATCAAACTTTATATCATTGAAATCAGCGAAAGCGTAGCTTTCTAATGAACTATTAATATATATGGTGCCCTATTGGAAAAAATCGGATATTGGTCAATATATCGAAATCGAAGCCAGACAGAAAAAAACTGAGAACGTCACTGAATTCTACTTGAAAAAGTGTTTCCAAAAGGTCTTTACGGAAATGAATTATTTTCATAAACAAAAAAGTTATGGAGACTTTACAATATTACTCAAAATCGAGAATCGCCCTCTAGCGGCTAAACGGTTGAAGATATCAAAATGCAGTTTGCACCAATCAAGATTTCATGAAATTTGAGCCTCAGAATGGGGGGTCTATTTTTTTCTATCTCTAAAAATAAAGGTGTTTCCATAAGAAAGTGTCCAATTTGGCCCACCCTGTACATGCCAAAAAAAAACTATTTGGTAGTTTTTTAGTTTGGTTTATTACAAAACAAAGTAGAACATTTTAATACCACAGCAACGTTCATGGTTCTCAGCAACGATTATTTCTTCCCAATAATCATTGAAAACCGACTGGAGGGGTTTTGATTCCAACAGGATAGCGCTACGTGTCATACCGCCAACAAAACCATGACGTTATTGCAAGAGCGGCTATTCCTGAGATACTGGCCCAAATGTGTGAAAACGTAATGAGAAATTGGACTGATCCAATTCGCTATTGTAAATGAAGTCATAAAGGTCATTTCGCCGATATTATTTTTAAAACATAATTGTAATTAGTTGGTCTTTCGAATGACATGAAAACATTTTGACAACGCAGCAATGTTTGTGTTTTATTTCATTTTAAAATACTAAAGCACTAATTGGATCACCCTATATTTGATAGTCTACTACATAGCTACTGATAAATACGAGGTGTCCCAAAAATCTTACAGCTGTAAGCAACATCCTCTTTTACCTTAAAATAGCTTTTTAAATCTGGTCACTTTTGAAAATGTGTATTCTAAACAATACAAATTTTTAAAGGTACCTACCTTCCAGTTTCAAAAAGCACTTTAAAGTTAAAAGAGGATGTTGCATACAGCTGTTAGTGTTCCAAATGATTTTTTTTTCTGTTTTCTACATTTTAATATACCTGTAAATGATAAATAACATATTAGTACCTACGTTTTATTTGTAATTTTATAAACTTCCCTGATTTATTATGGGTTGTTGTAGGTTTATTATAGCGCACGCAATAGTTATTGCGCTGTCAAGTTTTTGAATGATTTCTGCTCCAATGACCGCGTGAGGACCTAACATCTTGAAATCCCTAATACGTCTGATTACGCGTTCAATATGGATCCTAACACTAGCAATATGTTTTGTCAAAATAACATCTTCTTTGGACATTTTCTCATCTGCAGCAGTGGCGTGTCCAGACTTGAACAGAGGGGGAAGCTGTGAGGAAAGATGGTGAAAGTACAGGGCAGGAGAGACTTATGATTTCAGAACCAGTCAGCCATTCACAAGTTTCATATATTTCTTTTTGAAAATGTCTACATAAAGTTTAGTTTAGTGTTCTTAATAAATCCTCGAGGGGAAGCTGTGCGCTTCCATAGTAAACACGCCACTGATCTGCAGCAACACTTGGTGGTCTAACTAAACTACATCCTTTCTCATTTAACAGAGATTCAATTTGTTTGAAACCTCTATCGGCCATGACTGTGCTGTGATCTGGAAGAATTTCTAAAAATTTACAATCTTCAAATAATGCCGCATCACTAACACGACCACCATACCCGACAGAAATGAAATTAATCAACCCGTCGGGAGTAGATGAAATCAAGTACTTCACGGTGTTGCACTTTTTGTATTCCGACCATGTCAAAGACTGTTGTAAGGCGTTTGTTGGTTTTTGAATTTGAATTTCTAAACAGTCGATTATAGACTGAACTTGCGAAAATTCCAATCTAAACGAAATAGGTAAATTTCTTCGTATGTTACTTGTCGTCGGCCAAAAAATTAATTCTTTCATAAACGGTTCCATAAGAAAAATGGATTTTGTAAAAATTTCACTTGCGCGTGTTTTTGCAAACCAGTTCGCTTGTGTAATATTTCAATAAATTCTGCGTAAATGACGCGAATGGCAGTATACAGTCTAAGGTTCTTTTTTATGATATTAATAAATAATTCTCGCATATCGCTCTGTTCGATCTTGGCAGTAAACTGGTCAGCTTCACTGTCAATACTTTCAGTGCTGCTCCCACTGGCATTATACGAATCAGATTCGGGTGTTTCTATTACTGAGGGACTTACAGGATTTTCCCGTTCACTTTTCAGTCGCGAACGTTTTTTTGGCGGCTTTGAAATCTGTTTAGCGTTAGCGAGCGCAGAAAATTTTATCGGCGATACAACAGCATCCGTTACTTTCCGTTTTTGCGATGTTTGAACTGACTTGCTTCTGAAATGTAGCTGTTTTGTTTGGGTTTGGCATGCCTTGTCACATAACCGTGGCTGAGTTTCTACTCTTGATGGTTCAGGCTTATGTTCATGCTCCACCTCAATTTCCTCCACAACTTCAGGCTTCGACTTTCCGATTGAGGTCCCCGCCGCCGCTAACTGCAAATATTTTGCGATGTCTTTCTTCCTTGCTCTTTTCTCGCTGAGCACTCGCGGTTTCGTAGAGGAATGTCTGCCCGGTTGACATGCAAATTTATGTGGTGCGACATTCTGATTCATCCGGGATCGAACGGTACTCATCTTATATTCCAAAAAGTTTTCCATGTCTTTTTCCAGGTCGAAATGATCTTCGCAGCAATACACGGTCGACCTGGAAGAAACTGACTTCAAATCTCGCCGAGCTGCGTTGAACCACCTTTGACCTTTTACGTTTTGAGGGATCTTTTGGAACACTCACAAAATTTTTTTGTGGTGTTGCAGTGCTCGTATTTGTACATTTTGGTACAAAACAATACTTTCTCTTTGGCATTTTTGATAACGTTTGTGGCCACTGACGTCACGCGGCCTAGTCTCGCGTAGAGGTACGTTTACTAGCCTCGCGCCGATCCTTGATTTTAAAATGTTTATAGCGGACGTAAATATTAATATTTTGCGGTCAAATTTTTATTGATCGTTTTTCAATAAGAAAATCTCTCGATTTCAGTTAAAATAAAAAAATGTCGAACCTACATATTATAAATATTTCTCATTAGACACCACATATAAGGACATGTGGCACATTCAAAATTAATCGAAAACACACAAAAAAACATCAATATACAAAAATTAAATCGTTTTAGCTGGTTGCTAGAGATGAGCAGAAAATCGCGAAGTGCTAAAAATTCACTGCGAATGAAAAGTCGCAATCGCAATCTGCTAACTATTTTCGAAGTTGTTTTTACTTAGCGCATTTATTTACTATTAGTTGTAAAAAAATAAACCTTGCTGCGTTTTATTTATTCATTTTTTAACAATTCATAGGATGGCATCATTCGCAGTAATCACCTAAAAACTACTCTACATCATAAAACAGAAGGAATCACATAGCATATTTAACCTGAACCTATCATAGACAAGAACAAACAACATATCTACTAACGTCGCAATCGCAAAACGGCGTATGAAGCCAAAAGCATCATGACGTCATTCGCAGTTTTTATTCGCAGTTTTCATTCGCAGTTTATATTCACAGTGAATAAAAAATCGCATTCACAGTTATAACTGCGAATGAAACTTCGCGTTTTAGCTCATCTCTACTGGTTACAGTGCACAAAGCCAGCGGGCTACTCGAGTAGAAAACTGGAATTTTATTTGGTCCTAAACCTGCGAACTTAACTACTATTACATTAAGAAGGACGCTATATCTACTTTATAAATTTTTTACCCTAAAACCACATTGTAGTGTGTAACATCCTGTAGTTACAATAGGGTTTCACACCCTATACATTATGTAGCAATTGTATGTTTAACATTCAAATATAAATATGTATAATTAATAATAGGCAATATTGCTTATGATGAGTTTTAAAGATAACTAGGTTAATTAGAATAAACATGCCGTCAAAAGAGGGCATATAGTTTTTGACTATTGTATTAATGTCTTCAAACTAATAAACATAAGTTGGGTTTTGTAAAAACCTTGTGTTTGATTTAAAAGTATCAAGATAACCCTGCAAGGTTATCACATGGCGATCCTGCCAATCGAATTATGGTTCTAAATGGTATGGTTGAAGGGAAAAACTAAGTAGAGCTGGGAAGTATTGGGAATTTGGAAACCGAAAAGGCTAGAAAGCACAAAAACCATGGGAAATCAAAAAACTAAAGAGGTCAAGGAAGAAGTCATAATAGCCC